TGTAGAGGCAAAACTAGCGAAAACGTCTTTCAAATCAGTTGAAAGAAAAACGGAACCACTTGAATTAATTCATAGTGACGTTTTTTATTTTAAATCAATACAAACATGTGGCAGGAATAAATATTTTATTACCTTTATCGATGATAGCACTCGCTATAGCTACGTTTATTTATTAAAAAATAAACACGAAGCAATCGATAAATTCATTCTTTATAAGAATGAAGTGGAAAACCAACTTAATCGACGGATTAAGACGGTTATGAGTGATCGAGGTGGTGAGTATGAAGCACCAATTGGTGACTGTCACGCAATTCTTCCGTTACAACAATTAATGTCCAACGTTCTTCTCTTTTAATGCTGCGTTAAATGGACAGTTTATGGACGATTCAATGCCCAACGGACTGGTCATTGATGTCCAACGTTCAGGTCCATTAACACCCCATTTAACACACAACAAATCCTCCTATAAATAGCTGGCAGGTGCTTTGCAACGAACACACGGTTTGACAACGCACAATACTTTCCTCACGTTTTCTTCAACTAAAAACTCTGCAGCTACTTCCAAATTTCCCTAGTGTTCTGCTATTGTTCCAGTTCGCCGAGACTTTCGTTTGTGTGCTCAAACGATCGTTCGTTAGCCACCGTATCTTGGGAAATGGTCGTTGCAACGCTCCTAGCTAAAATCTGCTCCATCTTATTTTCTATTTTCTTTTAGATATTTTGTTTATTAATTAATTTTATTTAATTAATATTTCTTCGTTTTTTCCGAAACACACCCAACATATATTACCAATCCAAAGAACTGAGACATGCCATCAAATACTTTTAAAAACAGGGAAAATACACAAACATCGGAGAGGCAGAAAATACAAAAAGAAATTGAGGTGAAGAAGAAGAAGTATATTGGTTTTCCAAAAAAATGTATATAGGAAAATCTTGAAAGAGCAGAATCGGATAGCTAACAAAGGGAGAAGGTTGCTTGTTCCCTGCGTTGTTTAATTTTTTTTTTGCTATTCGGTGAAGCAAATTTAGGTTGGCGCAAGTTGTGAGGAGAAACGAAAAAAAAATGGGTAGTATAGGAAAATGGGGAAGAGCCGACTGTAAAAGCTACTCCGTATTTTAAATGGCATTTCTTATTTTGGCCACAAAAGACCAATGGAAAAAACCATTTAACCAAACACTCTTATTAACTAATTGGTCCGGTCAAAAGGTTAAATGGTAAACGTATTTTCCGGTTTTTTCCATTTAACCTTTTGACCGGACCAATTAAACCGCCGGTTCGCAGTTCCGGAAACTATGAAACTGTAACCGGAACCACATAGTAGCGATTCTAATCCGGTTCCGAACCGGCGGTTTCAGTTCTGTTTCCGTTTCCGGTTCTGGTCCGGTTCTCCGGTTTTTGTTTTTATTTTTTTATATTTTTATTCATTGATAGTATTTATCTGTATTTAATTAAAATATTAAAGATATCATAATCATGCATTTTTATTTTTCATATTTAAGAGTTTTGTTATTTCTTAAAATAGAGTAAGTATGATTTAATAACATTATTCAAATAAAATAATTTCCAAAAAATGTTAGTATATTTAATAGTTACAATTGTTATAATGAAATATAAAAATTAAATAGTCAACAACTAGATAGATATAAATTAGGTTATACGAATGTACAATATGTGAAAGGTTATTGAAATGTACGCTGACACTATCAATAAAAAATGTTGACATTTAAGAGAACATGTACTATACTATAATATGGAGTATGTGAAAAAGTATAGCCTAAGAATGGTCTCATCTTTTCAGAAGAAAATGATAATAGTCTTATTTGTGAACTTGATATGTAATACTAAGTATGTGTTATAGTCTTATTTAAAAAAATCTCTAATTTTTATGGTATCACCTATCGAGTATCGAGTGCTATAAATATTACTCTGTCCATCCCTGAATTATCTTCTAAATTTCTCTTTTGTCTGTCTCAATTTTATTTTTTATTTTCTCTTTTGACAAAGAATTTGTGATTCACCCATTTCTTAGATATTTTTATACATTCTCTTTTATCTTCCTAACTCTCCATTACATAATAGTCAGTACCTAATATTATGCTAAATGTACTTGGGACAGTTCGTATACGGTGCAACCGGCGCACCTTGAGTATCATGCTCTACTCCCAAAAATGACGTAGTTTTGCAAAATTTAAAAAAATCACGTGAACAGTACACACGTGAATAGTACACGTGTGCACAGTAGCTGTTTTTTTCTTTTTGTCTCAGTAGCATGAATGATGTAACTCACGTGTAAAGATATGTAACTCGCGTTATTGATCAATGTAACTCAAGTCCGTTCGAAATGTAACTTGTCAAATACATATTATAAGAAATAAAATATTGATTTCAATGTAAACAATGAAAATGAGAGTCTAATTGCACAATTGCTTTAGGTAAAACGGGAATATATTTTGTTTTAATATCATGGCCATAAAAAATAATTTTTGAGAAAAGATTATTTTTTGTTTCAATAGCAACGCTTGATTTTTTAATGTAACTCGTGTTATTACAAATGTAACTCGCGTTGATGACAAATGTAACTTATGTGTATACAAAATGTAACTTGTTGGAAAATTGAACAATGATTTTTTTGTGTGATTTTTTTGTGTGTTGAAAATGTAACCCGCGTTGATGACAATTGTACATTTGTGTTTGAACAAATGTAAAGCCTATTTATTTTAGGCTCGTGGCTCGCGAGCCTGCTCGCAAGCCTTGGTGTATTTGTGTGTGTGTGTGTGTGTATAAAAGGTATAATAATTATTTAAGTTCAAAGTTTCCACAAATGAGTTTGTAGTTGAATGGGGTTCTCCTTAAGTAGTTAATATTGCAACCCATGTTCGAACCCCCCTTGAACCTAAATTTTGCTTCATGCATATTATTGTAACTTCGAGCCGAGCTCGAGCCGATTTCGAGCTAGGTAAATAAATCGAGCCGAACTCGAGCATTAAAATTTGAGCTCATTCGAGCTCGAGCCGAACTCGAGCATTAAAATTTGAGCTCATTCGAGCTCGAGCCGAACTCGAGCATGATAAATATTTTCGAGCTCGAGCTCGAGCCTGTGTAGGTTCGGGCTCGGGTCGGCTCATTTACACCCCTAGCCGCAAAGCAGGTTTTGCCCAGCATAAATTGGAGGTCAAACCCGTTCACAAAATCATCCAGGTTCATATAGTATGATGATATTCTTTGTATTGGTAATGAGTGGTTTAAAATATTAATTATAGAAAATTAGCAATTAACAAATTTGAAAATAAGGTATTAGCCTATCTACATATTTCGACAGAGCAATTTAAACACATCCAAGTACTCCCTCCGTTCCGAAAAATTTTCGTCAATTTGACTTTTCTCGATTAATGACGATCAACTTTGATAAATTTTATTTTTTAGTATGAAATTATTTTGAATATGAAAGTTATATCAAAATGTCTCTTATTCAAAATATTTTCATAAAAGTAAAATTTATAAATTATATTACGTATATAAATATAATAATTAAAATCATTGTTCAAACTTTGTCATCATTGAATCATTGATCAAGAAAAGTTAGTATCAAGTAATTATAACTTACTCGCTATAAGACACACATTTTAAAATTTCATTAAAAAACTACAGGCCACAATTGTCATTTTATTAGACTTATTTAAGCACTCATATACACAGTTAAGACAAAGGCCTGTGTTTTCCATCCAAAAAAAAAAGACAAAGGCCTGTTGTACAATATCAACCCAACAAACCCATTAGCCCATAGATAGGAAGTAAGTAGTATACAGTTAAATTGGGTTAGGGTTTGCTATTAGCGGAAACATTTCGGGGGTGTATTTATTTTAGACATTTTAAGACAATTTAGAATTTGTGAAATCTTGGTGCATTCAATCAAGATATTTTAAAACTCCTAAAATGTCAAGGTGTATTTAATCTAGATTCTATTTATCATGTGAACATATTGAGACTTCCAAGCCCAAATAAAGACTAAAATCCCATTTTCCAAATCTCATCCCAGATTTACAATCTATAATTTGATATATCATAAATTATTAGGGAGTATATCCGCATCTCCAGTCATATTTCTTTCAAACAAAAAAAACATCTAAGCCTCTAGGCGTGATAATCTTGTAGCTCCATCACGACATTTTTGACACGATTTCTTAGTTTTCACTTCAAAGGTAAAGCTTCCAGCTTAATTATATCTAGTTAAGAATTTGTAAGTTCATTTTAAAAAATGATACTAAATTTAATCCTCTGTGCATATAAAAAGTTATATACTAAGTTATACTTCCTCCGTTTCTTAAAAGTTGCAACATTAGGATATTTGCACTATTCACACACCTTACTTTGACCACGATTTTCTATTAATATATAAAATCAAATTATTATGTATAAAATGTCATTAAATTTCTATTGATGTGAATTTTCAAAATATTAACTTTTTATAATTTTTACTAATACGTAATTAGATATAATTAAAGTCAAAGTTGTGCATTGGCACACGTGAAAGTCAAACTGTTTCAACTATTAAAGAACGGAGGAAGTATAACTTAGTATATAAATTTAGTAAGTTATATACTAAATTTAATCCAAAGGAAGTCTCAGTGGAGTATGAATTTTTATGGGATTATTTACTAACTAATTTAACTACTTTATTTTTTGAAGTACGGATCTGCCAAAGGAAGTCTCAGTTGAGGCTAATTTATATTTTAAGAAGGTGACGGTTCGCATTTGATAAAATATTTTGAAGATCAAATTGGTAGCATTTTAGCATAAGTTGTTAAGGTTGCGCTGGAAAGTTTTAAATCTTTATGATTAATTTTTGCATTTTCAGCTTTATTTTATGAACCTAGAGATTTTGAAAAGGTAAGGGTTGGGCTTAATTAATTGGGTTTGAGGATTTATGGATAATTTTAGCTCAGTTTTAATGGTGCTAAAATCATTGAGGTTTCTGTTTTGAGGTTATAGAATGGGGAAAAAAATCATTTGAATGGAAAAGTTGTATTCAACAAAGTTGTAGATATCTTTCTTGGCTAACTACTGGAATTTGAATTACATGCACTGGATTTGTAGTTTATGAGATATGACCAAAACGGTGATCACCTGTCACTTTCCATCGCAACTGCAAATGTCTGATTTCTTTGAGAAATATGTCCATTCTACGATTGTTATTTGGTTATGTGTTCTTCATAATAGTTGTAGATCAAGAAGATCTCAATGTAATGCAACTGGTATCACAAACTTTGGGCAAGCATGCGCCAAGTTATGATCAAGATACAAACATGTGTCTTTATGCATTGTCCATTTTCATCAAAAGTGGCCATATAGGCGACCCCTTCTTGGTTTTTGAGCTTCCTTTCATGATTTCATCATCTCTTGGACTCTTCTCATTGAACAATTGGTCAACATATCTTGCAAACTTCCGTAGCAATTCATTTGTTGGCAAAAAATGCCACTTTCTTCACGCAATTGACACGAAATTTGGCCAAACATGTTATGAATGTGATTTTTACCCGATTTCATGAAACTTGAACCAAAATATATAAAACATGCCTTGTTTTTTATATTTTCAATCCAAAAATCGCTTAAATTTGATAAGAAAAATAAGTACAAAAATGAACATACCACTTCCTTTTCTTTAAAACGAAAGGAGAAGAGGGTGAGGTGGTTAAGAATATCCTCCAGACTTATGAGGTGTTGTCGTGGCAGGTCATTAATTATGATAAATCAAGTGTTGCCTTTAGTAGGAATGTCGAGCCTGCTGTTGGTGAAGTACTTTGCTCAATTCTGGGGGTGTGCAAGGAAGGGATCACCACGAAATATCTGGGATTACCGTCTCTGGTGGATCCGAATAAGGAGACTTTGAGTTACTTGAAAGAGCGAGTATTGAAACGACTACAAAGCTGGAATAATAGATTTCTCTCCGTGCTGTGAGAGAAATACTCCTGAAGACGGTTATCTAATCTATGCCGACGTATGCACTCAATGTATTTTTACTACCAGATGAGTTATGTAATGAGATTCAGATGCTTATGAATGGCTATTGGTGGAGGGGTAATGATCTTACTGGGAAGGGAATTATATGGAAAAAATGGCAGACATTCTTCCCTTCGAGAGCAAAAGGTGGCTTGAGTAAGCGGTTGAAAGAATTTAATTTGGCCATGTAGGGTAAACAAGGATGAATATTAGTGACTGACCCGACGTCTTTGGTTAGCAGAGTTCTCAAGGCCATGTATTTTCCACTCACCACCTTCGAAGAAGCTCGGTTGGGGAGTCATCCCTCTTTTATTTGGTGGAGTATCACGGCAGCTCAAAGGGTAGTATTGGAGGGGACAAGGTGAAGAGTTGGTAATGACAAGGAAATTTATGTATAGAATGATGCTTGGCTTCCATGCGCAAGCAATGGAAAGGTGAATTCTGTGCGGCCAAGTTGAGTTTGGATATGAATGTGGCTGCTTTATTGTGTGAAAACGGAAAAGAATGGAATGTAGAGAGAGTAAGATCCATTTTATCAGCAGATGAAGCCTCGATTATCATGAATAGGTGTTTTAAAATAGGCACATGAACTCGAAAAGGGCACAAATCAACAAAAGGTGTTACAAATTCCTATCCTTTGGACTTTGTGATAATTTAATTTGGTTAATGATTTGCTTAGAAAGAAATGACTCAAAAAAAACGGCCCATTAAATGTGATTGAGCGTTTAAACTAATTCCAGCAAATGTGATTGAGGTTATTATATTGCTGGGGTAAAAATGGTAAATGCGTTTGGGGTTTAGAAAAATAATACCATAGTATTAATATCATAAGTTAGCATAGCTGTTAAAAAAATGATATAGTTTATCAGTTATTGTAGCTCTACAATTTTACATAATAAAAAAAAACTGATTGCATATATAAATATATAATGGTTGGTATAGTTGTATGGTCGTGTTATTTAAATTGCTTCACTCAAAATTGAAAGAGAATATACTATATATTTTGATGAATGATAGATACACTTATTAGAAACAGAAGAAGATATTTTTCATAAAAGTTAATTTGAGATTGTTGCTTGAAAACATAACTGTGAAAAATAAACATAGGGTTATTAGATTTGCATGTTTAAGTATATTGTAATTGATTCAGTGTTTAGTTTGATATGTAACATTTGTTTAATTACATGGTTGTCACTTTGAATGTATTGAAAGAAAAGTGTATACCTTAAGTAGCTGCGTCAGTTTGCATATCTTATGTAGCTGCATAAGTTAGCATACCTGTTAAAAAATCAATTATAAGTGCTAGAACAACAATAAATGCTAGAGCAATAATTGAAGTAACTTTTTGAGTTTCCAACTGTATAAAAAATGGAGGTGACTTCTACAAATCCACCAAAACACAATTTTTCATATGGGAATTATACTCCATAATAAATTGGACCGAGCTTCAAATGACCGTTGAAATTACCATTTGTGCCTTTTGGAATTAAATTTGTGCCTTTTGGAATTTGTAAAGGTGTTAAATATAAAGATGCCTTTTGGATTTCCTAGGCAAAAGGGGTGGCGACTGTTTTAAAATAGGCACATGAACTCGAAAAAGGCACAAATCAACAAAAGATGTTTCAAATTCCTATGCTTTGGACTTCGTAATAATTTAATTTGGTTAATGATTTTCTTAGAAAGAAATGACTCAAAAAACGGCTCATTAAATGTGATTGGGCGTTTAAACTAAAAAACTCTCTATATGCCAACCATTACACACCCCATACGACCTTATTCTACTCCCTAAAATTCTGCTCCCTACAACTCCCCATTTTGAAAGGTTGAAATGACATGCTGGATTGACACCTACGATCGTAATGCTACGTGTTACACGTGCAAGAAAATGTGCTGGAATTGGCTCATGTGGGAATGTGTACTGTGCGGTGGGAACACAAGCCATTACTTGTGTATGAAGGAGGTAAGCAAGTGTAAAAAGGGGAAACTTTTATGCGAAGAATGTGTTGCCATGCTTGAAGTCAAGCCTATACTGCCAAGGCTTTCTACTCGAATGATAAAGAAAACAAGTACTTCAATGATGATGTGAAAGTAGCAATGTGTTTTGATTGGATGAAAAATAAAGATGTTTAGTAGTTATTGCAGATTTTAGTAGTTTATGTTTTGAAATGAAATAGCTTGGCAGTACTTTTGTTGTTTTGTTATGTTTTGAAAACTATTAAAATTAAGATGCCAATGTAGATTTGTTAAATTGTTTGCAGTTATATTGTTGTCATTTAAGGTATATAAAAGATCTGTACTCTTCTCATGTAGTTTCAAAATTTTGCTTAAAATCGAAAGAGAATATAGGTTTGCTATGTATTGTATAAATGAAATATACACTTATTACAAACAGAAAAATATATGTTTCCTAAAAGTTAATTTATGTTTTTTCATTAAATCCTGTTTATTGTACACATTATGAAGAGATCTTTCATTCTACTAATTGAAGGAGGTTATTTTACATACCTTAAAGTAGCTTCATCATTTTGCAAACCTGCTAGAAATAAAATAAAATGGTGAAACTTACGGAGAGTGAACAATACAGGAGAAAAAGGGGTGTACATATCATCCATTATAAAGGTAAAATATAACACAGAACCTATTTAAAAAAGAGAGCAATATTCGCACCCATCCTCCAAGTTGTTGATTCCATCAATGATTACATGCTCTCCTTAAATGGTTCTGAGATTAAAACCTACCTTAGTTCTGATAGCCCGTGTAAATCTGATTCAAATCATGACTTTTTAGCGGATATCCATACTCCGCTAAAGCTTCAGGAGTTCCAAATCATGAACCGCATCTTAAAGTTGGAACACCAGTGATGCTAATGAGGAACCTTGATCATTCTTAAGGGCTGTATAATGGAACTAGGATGGTTATTACCAGATTAGGTAAGCATATTTTGGAAGCAAAAGTTTTGACAGGGTTCAGTGCAGGTGAGAACGTTTTGATACCAAGAATGTCCTTGACTCCATCTGATGTGAAATTGCCTTTCAAGTTTGAAAGAAGACAATTTCCTTGATTGTCTCATATGCTATGACGATAAATAAGAGTCAAGGACAATCGTAGTCCAATGTTGGATTAGTCTTGAAAAAACCTGTTTGCAGTCATGGTCAATTATATGTTGCACTTTCACGAGTCACTAATCCTTCGGTTTGAAAATAGCTATATGTGATGCAGATGTAAAAAGTACCAATGTAACAACAAACGTTGTATTTAAGGAAGTGTTCCGAAATTTGTAAGACATTTTGTTTTCAAATTTTATAAATATTCATTTATATTTATATTGAGCTTACTGCTTCCATCATACTCTTATGCATGTACAAAAATATTAAATTTTTAAAATTGTGTCACTATTTTTTTTTAACTTACGTAATATATCTTTGAATATGATTATTTCCCGTGCATCACACGGGTAGAATACTAGTAGTAATAATAATAACAGCAACAACAATAACAACAACAGCAATATTAATAATAATAATGATAATAATAAATGATAATGATAGCAATAATAATAGCAACAACAACAACAACAATAATACTAAAAATACTAATAATAACAATAACAACAATAATAATAATAATCATAACAACAACAACAACAATAATAATAATAAGGGAAATTAATTCTATTGAGTATGTTGTGCTTCTCTCTCTAAGGTGGTTCGCCGCCGCTAGGGTTTTCTCTCCGCTATCGATATTATCGAGGAGCGGTCGTCTCTCTACATAGTTAGGGTTTTTTGTTTCGCCAAGCTTCACTCGTGTGGCTTGGATTCTCGTGGAATGAGATCTTTATGCGGTTTTTCTTCTGGGAGTTTGGAACGTGAGTGGAACACAAGGGCGATGGGATGCGGTTTGTTTTTTTTTTTGGGATTTTTTGTGGGCGAAGAAACATAAGGCAACATGATAGAGTTTTCTTCTGCACCCCGAACATGGATTTCAATGGAAAATCTCAAAGAGCAAATTGGTAAGAACAAATTGACGAGCGCATGAAGGATAGGGTTTCAGATGAAATTCTCTTCTATTTTTATTATCACAATAACAACAACAACAACAACAATAACAACAACAATAATAATAATTGTTATTATTATGTTTGAACTTTTTTTATCTGATATGAATCTTTCTGATCTGATCTGATATGAATGAAATAAGAATAATCAATAAGTAATAAGAATAAGACTAGGAGAACAAGTTCTTATTCACTTAATCATATTATCACTTTGGTGTCATCTAAAATGTCTGATGTGTTGATTTTATAATATAATATCAATGTTCATTTCATTAAAACGTTATGTTCATTTCAGCATAACATAACAAACAATTAAATACTTGCGCATAATAAACACATTTCAATTTCAATGAATAAAGTTGACCACGTTTGCTGATTTACAATAGTCTGTACATGATAATGTTCGGTTAGTTTAAACTTTATACACATTTAATTAATGTTTACAATTAGAAAAATATCCGATTAATGTGCAATCCCGTAAACGAATGTCTACGGGATAACGGGATTTAGGCGGTGCTTATACCGTGGAACCGGTGCATGGTGAGCACCATGCATCCTTTGTTGTTTTTTATTTCTCTTTTTCTTAAATTGTTAATAATTTTTTTATTTTTGATCCGATTTTTATAAAATTTATATCAATTTTTTTTTATTTTTCATGATCTTTCAAATGAGATCAATATTGCCTATGTAATTTTAATTTTTTACATTCATACATTTCTTTGTAATACTCCGTATATTTTTATATGCATACACTTTTTCTATAATATATTTTTTATCATTTTTATATGTTTTTAGAGGTTTTTAAGATATTGAGTTTGTTTATTTTGCTTCTAGCTTGAAGTTACATTTGATAATATACGAAGTTACATCATCTTATACTCCAATTACAAGTTATTATGTGTGAGTTACATCTTGTTATGTGTGAGTTACATCTTGTTATACACGAGTTACATACTTTTATGCGCGAGTTACATGTAATTATGTGTGAGTTACATCTTGTTATGTGTGAGTTACATCTTGTTATACACGAGTTACATACTTTTATGCGCGAGTTACATGTAATTATGTGTGAGTTATATCTAATTATTTGTGACTTTTTTACTTATCTTTATCTTGAACTAATTCAATTATAACTGAATTAATTTTTTTCTTTGTCAATTTAATACAAAATTTTATTAATCAAATAAAATAAGTATATTGTATTTCATATTCATACACTATTTTTCAAATGATAAAAATGAAAGATGTAGCAGAGGTTTATTTCGTGGTGTAACTCACATACATTAAGATGTAACTCGAGTATATTAAGATGTAACTCGCGTACAATAAGATGTAATTCGCGCAGAAGAAGATGTAACTTCATGATATATTATCAAATGTAACTTCAAAATAATTTGTTAAAATTACATAAACAATATTGATCTCATTTGATAGATCATGAAAAATAAAAAAAAATTGATATAAAATTTATAAAAATCGGATATCAAATAAAAAAGTTATTGCAATTTTTAACAATAAAAGAAATAATAAATAATAGAACTGGGTATAAACTGCTTCGTTTTGCAACCGGGCGCACCATCCTCATGGTGCGCTGGTTGCAGGGTATAAAC